TAAAATAAATACTATAATGACTACATCCTTTTCAAATTTTGCTTTGTCTTTGAATTATTATCACATCACCTAGGTATATCATTAGTTAACCGGTTTATGCCAAACCAGGTGTAACTTAGTTTATTGGTAGGCACTATCATTGTGATCTCATTGAGTAACTCCTTTCTGTCAATTGCTATAGCAACTTTATTTTACATAGCTCCTTAAAACCATGTACAAGCAGGATCATTACTTTATATAGGCACATATTAATTTTACATTTCCTTTGTTTTATGTTATTCAACTTTAATCATTGCCTTGAAATCTATTATTTAGATTAACATGTTGTATCATCTTTTACATTATTCTAGTAACAACCATAATATTTTTTCATTTAGTTCCTCGCCATTACCATTCTTCTGTGTGCTATATACAGAAGGCATATTCTTTGAAAAGATGCACATATAATTCTGTGTGTTTATTAATATTCATACCATATTAATCATTTTTACCTATGGTAATCAAACTGCAATGGGAGGGGCTGGCACCGTGGCTCACTTGGTTAATCTTCCACCTGCGGCACCGGCATCCCATATGGGCTCCGAGTTCTAGTCCAGGTTGCTCCTCTTCCAGCCCACCTCTCTGCTGTGGCCTGGGAAAGCAGCGGAGGATGGCCCAGGTGCTTGGGCCCTGCACCCACATGGGAGACCAGGAGGAAGCACCTGGCTCCTGGCTTCAGATCAGTGTAGTTCCAGCTGTAGTGGCCATTTGGTGGGGGGGTGGTGAACCAACAGAAGGAAGATCTTTCTCTCTGTCTCTCTCACTAACTCTATCTGTCAAATAAACAAATAATAAAAAAACCTGCTATGTGAATCATGAAATTGATGTCCCTTATTTATTTTCTCTTTGATTTTGAATTTATCACTGTTATCTATGTATGTCATTAATAATCTTTTCATGGGTAAACCGTGACCATCCTAATTTGTATTTTTTTGTGGGGACATCAATACCCTGAGTATTCTTGTAGAATAGCATTTAATTTCTTTTTGTATTTTGTTTCAAACTACATATAGCAAAAATATATATGTGCAACTGAATTTTTGCCTTTAAACTCTGTGATCATATTTTGTATTATTGCATGCTCATCTTATTCAAAATTCTCTTAGAAGTCTGAGTAACTTTGATGTATATATATATATATTTTTAAAATCACATTGATGTCAAAATTTTCAGTGTATGATGTTGAAACTCTGGTAATACTGCTTTACAATTTTTCTGCAAATAGCTTGAGCTTGTGTAGACTGAAAATACTTCAATATTTCTGAATTCTATTGTAATAGATGATTTAAGAATATTTTTCAAAAATATGCTCTGTGTCTGCCTGGAACTCTGTTATCAATACCTCTAAGTTATTCCTTTCCATATTCAATAATAACATAATATATTACATATTTAAACCAAAAAAAACCTTTTAGTGAAAACTTCATTTTACACAGGGAAGTAACTAATGTCCCTCTGAGTGTCATTATTTTTATAACATAATGCATGATTGATAGAACATATTGGTTTAGGTCTTCATCCATAACCATAAGTTTCCTTATCAATAAGAGTTTTGTACACAGTCTTGGTTTATCACTGGAGAACTTCATCCGTATGCTTAGCCCTTGATATTGACGGCAGTCGGTGCTCTGAGCATTCTGCCCTAGGCTGCATTTAAAATCACTTTGAGATTTTATTGCACACGAAATTTATGTTTGGTGTCGGCTTATTCTATTTAAGGAGGGTCCTGGAACTTTTCAAAAGGTTTGCTTTAAGAAGTGTTACGTTATCTTTAACAAACAGCGTAATAATCTTCCCTAGGTACCATTGTACAGCTTGCTTCATGACAGTGCTTGGTTTCAAGAGGCTGACCACAAAACTTTCTGTTGTGATTTATTTTTCCTTTGTTTTATTATGAACATTTTTGCTAAGGTTTTAGTCTATGTATATCTTATTTCATAGATCCACTGAATATGAAAGAGTCTTTGCAGTAGTTCAACATAATAAAGCACATATTAGTCAACAACCTGAGTGTTTCTTGATGTTTTATGACAGAAAGTCCCAGAAGTGCTGGTCACGTGACACCTCTGAGTATATTTTCTGATCATTTGGTATCAAGTGCAATTTTATTTTCCCACAATGACTATGTGTAGAATATCGCATTATTCACTTGAGTTCTATCAGTAACGTTTTTCCGCATCTAATATGAAAACCAGGGGCTTTTTCAAAATACAAGTGAAGAAGTTCCCACTGACAAGGACTGTTGTTCCGTTCACTGAAAGTGAATCCCCTTTGCAGGTTACCTTGTATGGTTTTCCATTTTATTTTAGAATTGTAAATATGCATTTAATATGTAGTTATCTAATTATATTTGATCTAGTCTTCCTTCTCATGTATTGTTATCCTACAAAATTATTCAGCAGTTTCTATGTATAAATTTGGAACTGGAGGGATCCAAAATCAAGTGGATCTACACATTAATTTCCAGAACATTCTACCCAGCCCCCATCCTGTACTATGCTTTGCCTGCCCTGTGACTCACAGGTGCTTACTGTGCCATAAGGTCAAGTGCTGTCATTGGGGTTTAAGAAATAGTCATTTAGGTTTTTTTTTTTTAAAAAAAAAAAACTAAATAAATGAAATAGTCAGTGACTCTGGTTGTGCTTGTGCTTCCATCACATGACACTGAATGGAAACTCAAGGGCACAATTAGATTGAAGGAAAAGAATTGCTGCTTGGTTCAAAACCCTGACTATTGTAATCAGTGACCATAACTTGACACTTATGTGACAGAGAGTTTGCTAATGAGCAATCTTCTGGTTGATACTCGATTTTCATTTGATTGTGTGCATGAGCTCGTGTTTAATGATTTCATGAGTCTTACATTGATTGAACCTTGCCGTTTTCTAAACCCACCTCAGTTGCACTGTGTAATGTGTTTGGAGCTGGATTGGAACACGAGCAGCCGGGACATGAACCGGCGCCCAAATGGAATGCCACCGCCGTATGCAGAGGCTTAGCATACTATGCCTGAGCACTGACCCCAGGAATATAGGTTTTAGAGAGTGGGATACTCATCAGTCTGACCATTCCTAATTTACCAGGAGGAGCCCCAGGCTTTAAACCTTGTCTAAAACTGGAATAGAGACGCTTTGTTTAGTTGTCCACTGCCCATCAAATTCCAGATACATACTTGCCACTTGAGACTGAATTACTCAAATCTGCATTCATTTTCTCCCAGTATCATTCCAGTAATTTTCTCCTCAAGGACCTGTGTCCAATCGTATGTGGTTGTTATTTTATTCAGTATTGAAGCATGTTCTGAATTTGTTGTGACTGTTAGGAGAGTCTCCCTACATGCAACAGCATTTCAGATTTCTATGATACTGACCACTGAGAAACTGCCTCAGAGGTGCAGGTGTATGGTGGGGGTTCCATGCTCTGTCAGTGTTAGTGTTTACTGGCATGTGAAGAGCAAGTACCCTGGATATACATTATATCAGAACAGACTAATTTTCCATTATCTTCTGCTCCTCAACAAACTATGTTCAATATTAGATGACAGTGACATTACTTAACAAAAGGAATTCTTCATGAAACTTCCAAGTGATGCTGGCTCATTTCTGATAGAAAAAGACTTGAAACCTACTGTGTTACCCAATGCTGACTGCTGAAGCCTAACACATCAAAATGCAGTTGTATAGTATAGTATGTATTTTGTGATCTTTAGTGCATGTATTTGGTGACATATGGAGACCCAAAACACATTTGAAAAGTTTGTTTTGCATAATCTTTGGTAGCATGAGTTCCTCCAATCTGTAGCAAAGGAGAACACAAGGTCCACTCTATTTTTTTTTTTTGTATTTGTCAATTTGTGTTCTGTGTGGGGGCAAACTGATGAAATCTTTACTTAATATATACTAAATTGATCTTCTGTATATAAAGATAATCGAAAATGAATCTTGATATGAATGGAATGGGAGAGGGAGCGGGAAATGGGAGGGTTGTGGGTGGGTGGGAAGTTAAGGGGGGGAAAGCCATTGTAATCCATAAACTGTACTTTGGAAATTTATGTCTACTAAATAAAAGTTAAAAAAGGTTTTCATGGAGATAAATCTTGGAGAGCTTCCACCCCCCTCCATCCGTTAATTCTATTCTCATTCTTGGTGGGCTTCACTTTTTGCACTTAGAGAAGTACAAGGTCCACTCTAAATGTTTGTTATCCAGAGTTTAGCATGAATCAGTTACCTTGCTACTGATGAATAACACAGAAGGAATTCTCTGGGACTTCCCTTCTAGAAAAATGTGGTATTGCCTGTCAGTGTAACACTTCATATTTTTTCTGTGCTGTTTTAAAAAGGACCTAGGACAGGGAAAGTCAGGCCTCTGACAAGCAATGCTATCAGGTTTTGTGATCTAGTGGACACAGTCTATCTTACATTATTAAGTGGCTTACCTGGCACAGGTCATATGATTCAGTAATCAGGCCCCACCATGCATTTTCAGAAAATCTTCTACATCAGGGAAATAAGACCGCCAAAAATGAGATTCCAAGTAGCTCAAACAACTACAGTGCTGTTAGACACCCCCAGGCAAGATTCCTTGAAGATCTGTAACATCACCAGCTACTTCAGGTCCCGTGGTGGAAAGTTCCAGGACTCCACAGCCTGTGAGCCTCTAATGTGAGGAGAGTGGACCCAGAACCAGCTGTTTGTACCGAGCAGACAAGTAAGAGAAATATGCACTTTACTGGTGTTTTCTAGCTTAGAGATTCGTGGAAGGAATGTCAACAACATCCCAAATGATGATGCAGCTGAAGGGACATGGTTTCTGCTTCTCTCCAACACCTGTCACCACACAAAGTTAAGGTCACTCCACGTGGACTAACTCTATGATAGAGAACCAGTAAACTAACTCTATGGTAGAGACCCAGCTAGGCAGTGCCATCTTTTGCATTCCTCTGTTCACCATGGGTGGACACGGCTGTAAGAAATAGCTTTACTTTATTGTAATGTTTGATTTGGTTTCAAAACACCTGACCTTGACATTTTGCCATGAAAGTATTAGTCATTATATTATAACTGGAACTCTTGCAATACTAGGCACCAAAAGGATGGACTGGAATGGACTGTCAAAATTAAACTTCAGGAATGCAATGCAGGAACAGTGAGAATGCTACCCAGTAATCTGCAGGTAATTAAAGCCAGGATTATTGATGGCAAATGCGACAGGTGGGACCCAGGGGTCAACTGAGTGGTGGGTTCTGTCAGTCTACCTCACCCTGGAGGGGAGAACATATGTTAGGTAGAAGTCCTGAGACAAGGCTAGCAAAGATGGTCATGCATAGGTCAGTATCCCAACGTGCCGTATGCTGCAGGCCAGTTCTTTGCTTTGCAGACATTGCTAGGGCCACACATAAAGTTTCTTCAGAGTTTCCAGTGTGTGAGTGTGAACGCTTTGTGGTACTCTCTTATTAATCATTTTTAAGACTAACTTCTTTCACTTGCATGATGGTAATCATTCTAGGGCATCATGGGAGTCGTGAAGGTCACGTGTGGTGGTCCCTGGGGAGTGCCCAGCGCCCAGGTGCTGCTGAGGAGGTTAGTCTCCCATTTCCTGAATGCACACACTGCAGAGGAGCGTGAAGGCTCTTGGTAAGGCTTCTTCATGTCTCTGCCCCACAGGCTGGGCTCCAACGTCCTCCATGGATGTGTTTCCTTTCACAGGGCCAGCGAGTTTCCTGGGGATCGCTGGGATGTCTCCCTGTGAAGCACCGGGCATGCCGTGATCCTGCCTTTCCTTCCTCTGAGCCACATCCCCTACCGGCGACTGACTACTGCCTCAGAGGCTGACAGTGGTCAGCACCCACACCTAACAGGACTAGCCATGGCTGCAAAGTGTGCCTGCTCCCTGGGGGTCCCTTCACTCTAGTGCCCAGATGCTGGGTTGGCTCTCTGTATGCTTCTGTAAAGTCACTTCCACTCTCATGGGTATTCACTCATGGGAATTAGGGGAAGGCATCAGACAATGGGAGGGAGAGGGGGAGAACAGTGCTGGGTGTAAATCTGTGCTCTTCCATGATTTTAAGCAGACTCGGGGCTCTCACATGGGTGCAGGGGAACATGGGCATGGACCATCTTCTGCTGCTTCCCCAGGCACTTTAGCAGGGAGCTGGCTTTGAAGTGGGGGCAGCCAGGCCTCAAACCGGTGCCCATATGGGATGCCAGCATCACCTGCGGTAGCTTTATGTGCTACATACAGGGTGAGGCAGGATTTTACATTTTATGCAGACTCCAGCTTCTGAAACTGTGAGACCATAATGTGGATTGGCAGTGTGAGGAGGGAGGGGCAGAGTTGTCTACCTGTCTCAGGTTCCCTGAGAGGTAGGAGGGAGGTGGGCATCTGGGGAGTCTGATGAAAATGCAGGGAGCTGCAGGACAAGGAAGTTGGTGTGGAGTTACTCTGGGCATTCGGGGTCAGAAGGAAGAGCCTCCTGTCCCCTTCCCTGCCCCTCACAGTGCCCTGTGTCAGCGTAGCAGGTGCACAGAAGACCAACTCAGTGGTTCAGGTGCACAGAAGACTATGCTCAGTGGTTCAGGTGCACAGAAGACCATGCAGAGTGGTGCAACAGATTTGAGAAAAAGTGGCCCTGACCATTGCTGATTGGTTAGATCATAGTCACGTAACTGTGGTCAGTCAGCAGCTCTGTCCTACTGATGCTTTATTTTGAAGAGACTTGGCCAGATGCAGTGGTTATGTCCTACGTCTCCCTTAACCAGGTATTGATTTATTTACACATTGATCTGTTCATTTTTATTCATTGCAATCCAGGAACTATATTTAACCAGCTACCTTATTTCCCAGTGTATTCCCTTTCCTATGTCTAAAAACTGTGTTTGCTGATTTTGTCTCGGTTATTGTTACAGCTTGTGCTATTCAAATAACACTTCTTTTGAGAAATGCCTGAGTCTGTGTTTATTATTCATAGTGAAGTAAAGCACAGTGAAGAAGAGCTCGCGCATGTGCAGGAAGCCATGACCCAGGTACGACCTGACAGTTCCATTATGTGGGGCATTGATGTCAATGCATTGGTGGCAGTTTGGGGTGTGGCAGACTAGGAGGAGAGATCTGCCCACATTACAGCAAGAAAATTAGTAACTTCTTCCGATAAAGAAGTGTTCTCTTGGACAGATCAGCAAGAGTATAAAACATGATGCCCTGCCCCCTGGTAACTAGGTTTCAGGCAACAGCACCGGGTAAGTCACTGTGCTTCCAAAGCAATTCATGCCACAGTGGTGTCGCGGCAGCAGTCATGGTGTCTGTAAGAACATTCTGTGATGTTCTCCCAGTGACACCATTCCCTTTGTCAAAGCACATCCCCGATGAGAAGTGACAGTGACAGTGACTGCAGGTGGATACCGTGAGAGGAGGGGGCTCTCCTGCAGGTGAAGGGGAGGTAGAGTGAACAGCTCAGCTCTGCAGAACATCAGATCAGACGGCACGAGGACAAAACCTCGAAGCAGAGAGCAGGCAGTGAATTGCTGGTCCTGTGTGCCTCCCTCCTATGTAGGTTCACATGCACACCACTTTGAGAGGGTCAGACTGGGAGGAAGAAGGTGGAGCAGGTCCCTGCCGCTTCGCTGGTGCTTTTTCAATTCTCTTTGTGGCTTCAGTCCTTAGGCCACGAAGGTCAGGCCTGGGAGGCATCGAACCCTTCTCTGCCAAGCCTTTAATGCTGGCTGATTATGGTCACAAGACTTTAGTCTGTGAGGCACTGTATGCAGGGTTTCCTTCGGACACTATTTCAGAATGACTGGAGATTCAGCTAAGAGGAGCACACCGCGTGTGCAGGACATCCCTATACAGGCAGTGGGCACTGCTGCTCTTGTTCAGTAGGGGTGGCCATGGTTTCCACACTCCTGCCTCCCATCTTCCCATCTGTATCTCCATACAGCTATGGATGCAGGCACCTTCTGTCCACCTCTGTTTCTCATGACCATGGGCACTCACCAGGTCGGAATAGGGACCATTCTCCAGGCAGAGAGGTAGTCCATGGCATTCCAGGAGTCTGGTCTCTCCAGAGGGTCTTGGATTCCACACTAGTTCAGATAGATGCTCAGCTCGTTCTGGGCAGCCATTATCCCTGTCGCAGGTGGAGATCACTCACCAGTGCCTGTCTCCGCTCCCAGAGGAGAGGTCTGGCCCTCGCCAACTATCGTCCACCCTGTGGTGAGCAGCTTGGTCCCCTCCTCGTGTGGGCACAGAGGATATGGTACAATTCTGACCCTATCCAGTTGGCCACACCTCACAGATATGGACACACCGCTCCCGAAGCCTTTGCGCGTCACTCTGTAGTCAAAAAGTCCTGCTTCCTAGGCCCAACTTCACTTCTGCCCAAGACGGGGGACCACCATCCTGATAAGGTCACTGAATGAGAGCATTGAGGAAGAGCTGCAAAGGCCAGTATGACTCTCATTCCAACTTGATTCTGTGCACACAGATGAAAGACATACACCAGTATTCTTCTGAAAGTAAGCTGAATTGTGCAAAGTTAACCTGGGCATTAAGGAAAGGACCCGATTCTTAGCACTCATGAAGGGTGAGGGATGGTTAAATTCTTTGGGTGGAGGTTTGAACCAAGTGAAATTTGAGTCCCTTCTGATGAAGTCATTGCATTCCCAGCACAGAATAAATGCTTTATGGCAGAAATAAAGGTTACTTCTGTGTTTTCCCAGAAGTCTAAAATACAGCAGTCACAAAGTACCCCGTGCTCCCTGCTGCCGCTGTAAAGAAAATGTGAACACTCCATTTTGACATTCTCACGAGGAAGGGGACAGTCTCGCAGGTTCCTCACAGGTAGGCGTGAAGGTCACAGGTATGTGCAGTGCCAGGATAGCTGCTCGGTCTGCCTTCTTCTTCCCTGTCCCAGGCAGTGTGTCGTCCTACCCTCAGGCCCTCCATGCAGCCTCTCTTGGGGTCTGCAGATGGAAAATCTCCATGCTTCCAAGAAGCCACAGGGACGGGGTCAAGTTGTTCAGGACCTGTCTCGGAAACACCACTGCCCATTTCGGACCGCTCTCGCCTCCTCAGGTTCATGCAGAGCTAAGAGGGCAGGTCCTAGATCCAGGCACTGGCTGGGATGTGGGGACCAAACCCGCTACTGTGCAACTGGACATACACATCTCCCTTCTCAGCACTCTCCCAGCCTGTTCCAAGCCTCATATAGTTTCCCATTCTTCTCTCTCCGTCTGTCCAGAGTTGGTTATTTCTACCTATGACTGCTTCCCGTCTTCTCTTGTCTGTTTCTGCCTGGTGGCAATGAGACATCTAGGGTAACTGTTTATCATCAGTTTGTGATGCTCTCTTTTTTTTTTATTTTTTTTTTATTTTTTTTTTTTTTGACAGGCAGAGTGGACAGTGAGAGAGAGAGACAGAGAGAAAGGTCTTCCTTTGCCGTTGGTTCACCCTCCAATGGCCGCCGCGGCCGGCGCGCTGCGGCCGGCGCACCGCGCTGATCCGATGGCAGGAGCCAGGAGCCAGGTGCTTTTCCTGGTCTCCCATGGGGTGCAGGGCCCAAGCACCTGGGCCATCCTCCACTGCACTCCCTGGCCACAGCAGAGGGCTGGCCTGGAAGAGGGGCAACCGGGACAGAATCCGGCGCCCCGACCGGGACTAGAACCCGGTGTGCCGGCGCCGCTAGGCGGAGGATTAGCCTATTGAGCCGCGGCGCCGGCCCTGTGATGCTCTCTTGTTTTGAATTTTAAGGCAGGGTTCTGACTGTTTGAAGTCTCTTTCCTGGGGAGTGAGGTTCTGCTGTATTGGTAAGTTCCAACATCAACTACCACCTTGTAATGCCATTGCCCTCTTTCTTTGTATCACATTATGTGTGTTCATTATGTGTGTTGATGTGCATCCATCTTGAGACAATGACCAGTATAATTGTCAGAAATGTCTCTACCCCCAATTAATTTCATAACTTCACAGTACGTTCAGACTTGCTGTACTCCAAGGAGTATCTAACCACATCTAACATGCCTTTTCCTTGAGAGCCCATTGTGGCTGTGTTATTTATTGGATAACTACCTACCCTTTACTTCCTTGTACCCCACCACCTGCTTCAATACTCCCCACCACCTTAGTGGTGTCCGGCCCACCAGGTAGACTGGGTGTCTCTGTGCACAAACCCCCAGGGTCAGCCACACAAAGCAGAGGCAGAGCAGGAGTAGGGAACCGGGTGTGAGTCGGGAAGCCTCTGTCTCCCCAGTTCCCATTCCACAGGCAGTGCCGGCATCCCATATGGGCACTGGTTCGAGTCCCAGCTGCTCCACTTCCACCTGGCTCTCTGCTATGGCCCGTGGAAGATGGCATCCCATACTGGTGCCAGTTTCGAGTCCTGGCTGCTCCACTTCTGATCCAGCTCTGAGCTATGGCCTGGGAAGGCAGTAGAAGATGGTCCAGGTCTTTGGGACCCCTGTACCTGTGTGGGGGACCTAGAAGAAGCTCCTGTCTCCTGGCTTCAGATTGGCACATCACCAGCCGTTGCGGCCATTTGGGGAGTGAACTAGCAGATGGAAGAACTCTCTCTCTCATGAACATTGCTTCTCTGTAACTCTTTCTTTCAAGCAAATAAATAATGCTTTTTAATAAAAGAATTTATTCCTAGGAAGCTTCCACTGTCCGTAGTTCAGCCTCCTAACTGTCCCTGCTGGGCACCCATGAATTGCTGTGTGAAGCTGTGGACTCAGCCACTCCTCCTATCCTGTCTCCCAGTGTGCCCCAGCACAAAACCTTTTCCATGCCTACCAGGAAGGGTCTCCCACATCTCTTTCCCAGTTATACTTCCCTTCCAGGATGATGGTTTCTCACCAAACTCTGCTGGGCTGTCTGCCCTCACAGGCAATTGAGTTAAGACGTGTGTGACAAGATGGCCCTAGACAATAGCCAGGTGCCACATCCCTGATAATCTGCAGCTGGTTTAACATCAGACGCTAGTGCTGAGGGTACAGGCCTTGAGCAGTGGTCAGGGAGGAGGTCCCCACATCCTGCTGCCATTGGGACCTGGCCCAGTGTGCAGTGAACTCCCCTGCATTCCTAGAGGGCCTGGGATGTGAGGGGTGAAGGAATTAGAGGGGGCAGAGAGGGGTCTCAGTAGGGGCAGAGAAGGGGGAAAGTCCCCAGGGTGCTCAGTGCATGTGGGAGGGGCAGTATCTGCTGGTGGGCAGTTACAGAGTCAGCACTCTGGAAGCCTCTGGAGACTGAGGAGAGACCCCTGCTTCCTGATGGCTGCATCTGCAGGGACTGGCTTCCAGGTCCTGGTGAAAGATGGCCCTGAGTTGTGGGGCTGCTTATGCTCTCCGAGGAACAAGGAGGCCTTGGGACAGGGAGCCCTTTAGTCAGCGCCCTGAAGGTGGCAGGTCAGGGTCTGGCCCCTGTGTTGGCTGGAATAGAGGGTGCAGTCTTTGGCAGACTTCAGATTTCTCAGGTGCACACTCCATGAGAGTTTAGGGTGGTCCTAGGCATATGGCCTTGAACCTCCAGAAGCAGTGTCCCAAATCATTTGTGTTGAGTCTGTAGATTTATAGCCCAAGGCTGAGATGGGTCATGAAGAGACCTCGGAGGAGCCTGGGTACAGACTTGTTGAGGGGATAATGAAGCTGTACCTGTGGGCCTGGGCCAGGTGCCACACCTGGGTAGGAGGAATCGCCACTTGTCACCCAGGGCTGCGTTTTGCACAGCTGGGGCTCTTTGTGGTGGGAACTTCATCGTCAGTGGTGCCAGTCCCAGGCGTCTTTTAGCAGTAGACCAAATGGGAAGTGGGCCCTTCTCTGTGCGGTGAGAGGCTGCAAGAACCATCTCTCTCTTTCTCCCCTCCTCCCTCCCTGTCTCTCCCTCTCTCATTTTCCTTTCTAATCGA